GTTTGGAACATGGAATTCAGCCTGATGGCCAAATGCCAAGCGACAAAACCATCGGCGGAGGAGACGATTCCTTCAACACGTTTTTCAGCGAAACAGGAGCGGGAAAACACGTTCCTCGCGCTGTGTTCGTTGATTTGGAGCCAACCGTCGTTGGTAAGTATTCAAATATGTCGGAAATGTTTCTCCTTTAGTTAAGTTACAATTTCTTAGTTATCAAACGTCGATGAAATTCGTCAGCATTCACTTTTCGTCGCAAGCGTCATTATATCCAGTGTGTAAATTGTGGTAAAAGCGAAGATGATATCATGATTCGAAGATATCCGCCCAAATCTACCTCTCGCTGAGGCGTTATACGCTGTCTGAATTATTAATTATCAATGGAGGCGTTCTGTTTTTAGAATCCTTACTCTGCTATCTTTTTTTGGGCTTCGAGTGTTCATATATCGTTGATTACTCTTGACTCTTAAAAATTGAGCCTTCTGTCGAAGCGAATGTAGAAGAAAGCAGCTAGACGAAGAGTGTTGTACTTAGCAACAACTGTAAACAGAGTACACAATGCTTCGTTTGAAGAGACGAACAAAAGCTGAAATTACATCAATGTTAGGGTTCGTTGGTTAAGCTTTCTTTCGCTTGTTAGAAAAGGTGATCAGAGAAAGTGAAAAGTTTAGCCTTGTTCTCTTGACACGGTGAGAAAGTTGTTACTCGTCACTCTGATCGTGAAAAGAGGGTAAGTTTCCAGGGGGGAACCGTGGACTGAGGTGTTGCGTTGCCGAGGGGTATTACAAGATGATTTGGCTTTAACAACCGAGTGAATGATGTAGCTTGGTCACCAAAGAGAGTTTCTAAAGCTGACTTTTGGGTGACAGCCAATTGTCAGTTTAAGTGAAAGGTAAATGAAGGGCTAACATTTGAAGCATCAGCTTGAGAAAATCTTTACTGTGGCCAATTTACATTATCCACTCTGTTGATCAAACCAAATGATCATGGAAGGGTTCTCAGTGGCGGATCCAGGGGGAGGGTCTGGGGGATCTGGACCCCCCTAACAGACCTCATGCTTACAACTTTGAAATTGAAATTCTTGCATCGACAGGATTGTCTATCACTTTTTGGCTGATCTTTTTAATGAATCTAAGTAAACAGTAAGCGGCCAAGGAAGGGGGTGTTGGGGATGTGGGGGAGAAGAAATTTACCTCAAAAGAATCCAACAGTCCTTTCAAAACCAAAGTTTGGACCCCCCCCCCAATCAAAAATTACTGGATCCACCCCTGGTTCTCACAAAGATTTTGCTGTTTCAGATGAGGTTCGTACTGGCACCTACAGACAGCTGTTTCACCCTGAACAGTTAATCACTGGCAAAGAAGATGCTGCTAACAACTATGCTCGTGGGCACTACACTGTTGGGAAAGAAATGATTGATCTTGTTCTGGACAGGATCAGGAAGTTGGTAAGCCACCCAAGTTTCTTTTTCAATGAATGCCATGTTTGGACTTCAGGGTTTTACTAAGGTTTTAGAGTTTATGTACCTAGGTAAATATTTTGCATGTGTCAACACTGGCCAAGACATTAGAAAGTTAACCAAAGGTAAAAGTTTGATTAACCTCCTGGTCAGGCATGGATTAGGTTGGTAACCAAGGTGAGATAACAGATATATCCACTTGTGGTCACATAGTATGTCACATCCTGTGGTGTCCAGATTGCATCAGTCTCATTCAGTGATGTTTCCACGACTTTGTTTTCTTTCCACAAATCTTCAATGAAGTTTCCATGTAAAAGGATTTTAAACCAGAACTTGTTTCTCAGCCAAGAACAAACTCACCAAGCAGGCCTTGTCTTTCAAGTAGCATATTGAAGCAAAATTAATCACTTTTGCCTCAACTTCTTGAGATGCTGCAAAATTAAGATCCGCCAAAATCTTGAGACCCGGGCTTGCTGCCCAAGTACAAGAAAATAAACTGGGAGGACTACGAGAGCCACAGCTTCTGTCATAAACGCGTGTATTTTATACATGGACTTTAGAATTTGCTGCAAATTTGATTTGATTGTAATCATGATTGATGGCAGGGTTACCTCCGATATTTGAGCCAGTATAAACACCAGACAGATGTACCAAGGTTCAGTCATTCAAGGTTTACCCCAGTAAATGCCAAACTGTAAACACAGCTTAAGTGGTGTCTGTCATAACAATGTCCCAAATCAAGATATAGAATTAAACTGTTAGTGCCAAGTTTCCTTCTTTTATTTTGTATCTCAGGATGGTAAGACACATATTAATGTTTTGAATTCCCTCTCAGGCTGATCAGTGTACTGGTTTGCAAGGTTTCCTTATCTTCCATTCATTTGGTGGTGGCACTGGCTCTGGATTCACTTCTCTGCTCATGGAGCGTCTGTCAGTTGACTACGGCAAGAAATCCAAGCTGGAATTAACGATCTATCCAGCACCTCAGATTGCAACAGCTGTTGTAGAGCCCTACAACTCTATCCTGACAACTCACACCACATTGGAGCACTCTGACTGTGCCTTTATGGTGGACAATGAAGCCATCTATGACATCTGTCGCCGCAACCTGGACATTGAGAGACCCACTTACACCAACTTGAACAGACTGATTGGTCAGATTGTGTCGTCTATTACTGCCTCACTGCGCTTTGATGGTGCCTTGAATGTTGACTTGACTGAGTTTCAGGTATTTATCAGATGAGTACTTTAAACTTTGTGAATCAGCATACTACTGCTGCAAGTTAGGGAATTTATCTAGTGGATAACCAGCTTGTTTGTATTTGTAGACCAACTTGGTACCATACCCCCGTATTCACTTTCCTCTGGCCACCTATGCTCCAGTGATTTCAGCTGAGAAAGCTTATCACGAGCAGTTGAGTGTTGCTGAAATCACCAATGCCTGCTTTGAGCCAGCCAATCAGATGGTTAAATGTGACCCACGTCATGGCAAATACATGGCCTGCTGTTTGCTGTACCGTGGTGATGTGGTACCCAAAGACGTGAATGCTGCCATTGCTACAATCAAGACCAAGAGGACCATTCAGTTTGTGGACTGGTGCCCAACTGGCTTCAAGGTGCTTAATTAAGATGTGAAGGCTATTCTAGATGTTCCAAAAATTGTCAAATTGCTGGCTTGTTAGTTTTTTAGGGTTGTTGTTTATTTACTGAAAACTTTTGATTTGTGTTGTTAGGTTGGCATTAACTATCAGCCTCCCACAGTTGTTCCTGGTGGTGACCTGGCTAAAGTTCAGCGTGCTGTGTGTATGTTGAGTAACACTACTGCAATTGCAGAGGCCTGGGCCCGTCTGGATCATAAGTTTGATCTGATGTACGCCAAGCGTGCGTTTGTCCACTGGTATGTTGGTGAGGGTATGGAGGAAGGAGAGTTCTCTGAGGCTCGTGAGGATTTGGCTGCATTGGAGAAGGACTACGAGGAAGTTGGAGTGGATTCTGTTGATGCTGAAGGGGAGGAAGAAGAAGGAGACGAGTACTAGTCACGTGATAGTCTATCAACTTGTCTGTCAGAGCTTTGGAAGATATGCAATAAAGAGTTTTTCCCTGGAAAACGTTGTCTTTGGATTTATTTCCATATCAGCTATATTGTTAAATTTATTTGATTTTATTTAACCATCCCTTGTTGAAGGAAGAACCAGTTGATGGATCAACATTGCCGAAACATACCTAGAAAGGTAAACGTCAGGGTCAAATCACTTGGCTGCAAAGCATGTCTTCGCCCAATTGCACCGTTTTAGCACGCGTTCGCGATATTTTAGGCCAAGCACTGGTATTAATCGCCTCGTATGACTTAAATTATTTTTACCCACTCAGGAGCCTGAGTGGATACAAATAATTAAAAAGTTTCGGGCGGGTCCCGGATAACCTGGCAAGTCAAGGAATTTTACAAGCTCATAAGTCAAGGAATTTTATAACTTCATTTCACAGGTTCGGAAGGTCGTCAAATTTAGGTTTGGTTCCTGGAAAAGCAGCAGGTTTTCTATGAGTGTAAATCAATGCATAACCAAAGATGAAAAATTACCGGGGAGTAAACAATTCATTTCAGCAGAAATAAGCCGTTAGGGACTTTCAGCAAACCGCGATGGCGAAGGCATCAAGGACGTGGAAAAACAAAAGATCTAATGGGCAGAGCATGCGTTATAAAACTTTTCTTAGTCGTCCTCTGCCCAACGTTAAATCATCAAAATTGGCGTCGTCTACAAATGGATACCGCGACGGCAAATTGTTTTAATTTCCATTTGGAACTCAGATGCTTATATACGTTATGCTGAAGTTGGGGTGTGGTACCGTAAGAGACGGTGAAACCGTGCAGCCATTTTTGAAACTCTTAAAATGGAAAGTAGTTTCTTAAAAGAGAAATTCATTTTTGTAATCGACGTCTTGGCGTTGCCGTCGTGACTGCTTAAGGTTCCCAGAGGAGATTTGCACGTTACGTCATTGCCGCCGTGTTGGTAGACGTAAACAATAGATATCTCATCAGCTGCTTTTGTTCGTCCAAAAGCATTTGTTCCTTTTCAACATTGTTACCTGTGTCTCTAGAGATTGGTTGCAAACCACCTATTTGCACGCGTTGTAAGATTTACGCTCACGGACATATTTGTTTACAATGCATTATTTCGTGACATTTATGCAAATTTGTGGGCCATTTGGAATGAACCACTTTTTCTTAGGTCTTGGAATTTTTCGAAAAAGTCGTGTAATATTCACCACTCCAAAGAGTACGAACCTCGATTACGAGCTAAGAAAGACTTGGGCAGTATTTATACCTCTCAATTAAACTACCATAGCCCCATGTGTTACTTTGCATTACCCAATATTAATTATGCATTCCATTTCATAAAGACTAAAGATGAAGGTTTCTTTGCAACACTCTATGTAGAATTAATGTACGGGTTCTATGGAACTCTTGCCCTTTGTGAACATCTTCGACTGAATTATTAGTGAAAGGTTATAAGTTGCACTTTACTGGGTAAGTCTGAGAGGAGTCTTGTATTTATTGACTTTTAATTCTTCTCAGTTTCTCTCCAGCGTAATAAACGTAATCGGTCGGCGAAAAAATTATCTTGGAGACAAAAACCTCGCATCAATGATTGATTTGAGCTTTCTTTAAAAAGGCTGTACAATTCCCAAATCATCAAAGTTGTGAGTATTACGCTGTCACACTATAAGTAAAGCGTCACATCATTGTCTGGCTGTCACGATATTCTGTGGACTGGATTTGCCTTCTCCGTATGGCGGGATTCGGAGTTTCGATCTCTTCCTTTCGGCACCTGTGGCATAAGCAGAACCCAAACCAATCTTTCCTAAAATTGGGTATGTAACAAGCAAAAATTAATGGATTGAAGAGTGAATTAACAAACTTCATCAGTTCTGTTATGATTGTAAGGATCAAAACAATGTCGGGGCGCACTTCAGCAAGGACGTCAAAAGAGCGAAGCATGGAGATGAACACAGAAGGGCCCCAACAGATGACCACGCCCATAGAAAGTGCACTCAGCATGCGCGTGATTTTCTTCTTTGCGTTGGCAGTCTCCTTGCTGATGGTACCATTTTTGACATCTTTCTTGAGATAAATAAACGTCACAACAAACAAGAAAACCATGACAATCAAAGGAACAGTAAAAGCCAACAGAAAGTACATGGTGGTAGAAAGCTGCCCACTCCAATTCTGATACAAATCGCACAGTTTAGGGACGCTACAGTTTTTCAGCTCTTCCGTTAAATTTTGATCAGCTTCTGATATTTGCGTGTAGAGGATACTCTGTGCACTGTACATTAATGGTCCGCTACAGATAGCTGCGTACAACCAAACAACAAAAACCACAACAAAGGGCGTACGGCGTGACATAAGACCTTTTAAAGGGTATGCCGCGTCACGATACACATCAACAGAAATCACTAGAAGCGAAACAAAAAAAGCCGCACCGCAAGCAGAGGAGAAGAAATGCAGGAGCTTGCATGGGACAGTCCCCTCCTTTGTGCTGAATACTGTGCTCAGATATATCAGAGGTCCCACGGTTAACACCCGAAATATCAAATCTGCCACAGATAAATGAAATACAAAAAAGTTTGACAAGTTTTTTAGCACACACTTGTTTTTCAGCATGACTCCGCAGACTGTGGCGTTGATAACAATACCGGTGAAAATCAGAAAGAAAACTGTTACTTCAGACGCCTTGGCAATTTGTTTGGCCGTTGCGCACGTCATCTTGAGAATGTCGGCTTTGTCATTTGGAAGGGTCGACATGTTGTATCACGATGCCAAAAATAAGTTTCAACCTCTCGGTTGTGGAGATATCTCACTTTCCTTTCTGACCTCTATCGCTGAAACCGAAAAAATACATAAATATTATACGTAAAGAAGTATAAAATGGTGGTATATATCATCTATGACAAGAGGCCCGTGCGGCTCTTAAGAGTTTTCTGTGAGCTTCGACCTTTTGACTTGCGATTAAATCGCAAGAAAACGACTCTATTTCTCTAGTATACAGGTAAACGGCCGTCAACTTAATGATACCTTACCTGATATATTATACCATCATTTCGAAATCATCCTCTGATTAGCTTAAAAAAAAAACATCTTGGGGTCCGTGGTTTTTCTCGTGACAGTGGCCATCACATGACATGACACGACGGGCGCTCCATTCAAACAAATTCTCCTCATCACGTAGCCAGCCTAAAGCTCAAGTTTACAAAACAAGCATAGCTCAGAAACCTTGACTGATCCAGGGAAATTTCACTAAATAAATGTTGTTGTTTGAAAACGATTGTCTTGCTTATCTTGATTTTTGGTACAATGACTTTCATGGACAAACTGCAGAGACTTCTGTATTCGACAACTGCATAGCACCGATCAATAATTATATTGTGAAGAGCAATGAAACATTGTTTTTTCAAAACTGATTATCAAACTTTACAGGCGGTCAAAAAGTGGCCAGTTCTTTCGTGATATTTTTCTCGTAATTCCATGATAACGGTATGGAAGATGAGATACATGAATTGATTTATTCCCCGACTTAGTCAGAAGTTCAGGGACAGCCACTGTTAAAGAAAACCTAAAATTGTCCTTGCCTCGACTTGATTCCCACTCGAATTTTGAACAATTTCACAAACCTGTGTCCTTTGGGTACGTGCGCCAAAAGCGTGCAGTCCGGTAAGAGAAACTTATAATTCACGGGTTGATTGTAAAAGGCAGGCGAGTGGAATTTACCGAAGACCCTCGACCGAGCTTAGTTATTGCGAAACCGAATAACCATGATTTCTATCGAAGCGCAACATTTGACACCGTTTTCCGAAGACTGTCAATCATGGCACGTGATATATGCTTGAAATAAATATTACGTGGCGACGACTTGGTTATTAAATTTCAATCGAAGTTACTTAACTTGAGGGTCGTTGTGTAATTTAGAATTATTTTCAAAGAGACTGAACCCGGTCGTTATTCGTTATCCATCATAATAGCAAAAGCTAAAGCCACCCTCACACCCCCCCCCCGCTTCGTTGAGAGTCTCCTTACGTGACAAGCCGAGAGGAAATGAAAGAACAACGTCATCTTTGTTTTAGAAACAAGTGAACCACTTAGCTTCGTATGAGGGGTGGCAGATTGGAGGGACTCGAAGAAAGTGAAACTCACGAAATNAGGTCTGATTTTCACTATTGCTCAAATAGTGCTTTACTGCGAAGGATCGTGCACATATACGTTTCATAACCGCAGTTCATACATATGTTTCATATGTTTGTTGTTGTTTGATTTATCATCTACGGGTTTATGTCGAATTAATTTGATGGCCTGCTCCCAGTTGGCTTGTTAGCTCAATTGGTAGAGCGCTGCACTAGTATCGCAGAGGTCAGTGGTTCGAATCCCGTACAGGCCTGAAATTTTTTTCAGGTCTGATTTTCACTATTGCTCAAATAGTGCTTTACTGCGAAGGATCGTGCTCATATACGTCTCATAACCGCAGTTCACACATATGTTTCATATGTTTGTTGTTGTTTGATTTATCATCTACGGGTTTATGTCGAATTAATTTGATGGCCTGCTCCCAGTTGGCTTGTTAGCTCAATTGGTAGAGCGCTGCACTAGTATCGCAGAGGTCAGTGGTTCGAATCCCGTACAGGCCTGAAATTTTTTTCAGGTCTGATTTTCACTATTGCTCAAATAGTGCTTTACTGCGAAGGATCGTGCACATATACGTTTCATAACCGCAGTTCATACATATGTTTCATATGTTTGTTGTTGTTTGATTTATCATCTACGGGTTTATGTCGAATTAATTTGATGGCCTGCTCCCAGTTGGCTTGTTAGCTCAATTGGTAGAGCGCTGCACTAGTATCGCAGAGGTCAGTGGTTCGAATCCCGTACAGGCCTGAAATTTTTTTCAGGTCTGATTTTCACTATTGCTCAAATAGTGCTTTACTGCGAAGGATCGTGCTCATATACGTCTCATAACCGCAGTTCACACATATGTTTCATATGTTTGTTGTTGTTTGATTTATCATCTACGGGTTTATGTCGAATTAATTTGATGGCCTGCTCCCAGTTGGCTTGTTAGCTCAATTGGTAGAGCGCTGCACTAGTATCGCAGAGGTCAGTGGTTCGAATCCCGTACAGGCCTGAAATTTTTTTCAGGTCTGATTTTCACTATTGCTCAAATAGTGCTTTACTGCGAAGGATCGTGCTCATATACGTCTCATAACCGCAGTTCACACATATGTTTCATATGTTTGTTGTTGTTTGATTTATCATCTACGGGTTTATGTCGAATTAATTTGATGGCCTGCTCCCAGTTGGCTTGTTAGCTCAATTGGTAGAGCGCTGCACTAGTATCGCAGAGGTCAGTGGTTCGAATCCCGTAGAGGCCTGAAATTTTTTTCAGGTCTGATTTTCACTATTGCTCAAATAGTGCTTTACTGCGAAGGATCGTGCACATATAGATTTAAACTTTCTAGAAGCATTGCCAGAAGTAGGTTTGGATTCCTTCCTTTTCTTTTCTGCCGATATCTTAGCCTTCAGAATTTTCTTTTCATCTTCAGAGTCGGAAGGCAAGCTCGTGCGACTCGTATTCCTACACAACCAGCCACCCGTCTTTGCTTCTATCTGCGAGCTTTATTAACTTCTGTCTTCTCTTCATGAGCTGTCGCCCTTCTGCCGCCAGCTTGCGGATCTCTTGCTGTTCGTTCAGGCTGACCTCTATCTCACCAAAGATGTGGTCCAGTAGGGCATTTAACTCGAACTGCTTCCTATTACCCTTGAATTTGAACTCGGTTGCTTCCTTAACGACTTTCGACTTTCCTTCGAGATGCTTGCTTTGTTCGTCGAGTTGGGAGGCCAGGTAGGTTTTGAAAAGAGATTGATAAATTCTGTAAGCGAGCATGGCAATATGGTTACACCAAGGATCGCATATCCATCAACAATGTAATTTTAACTAGGGATAAACAATTGTGGGAGAAAGTCACACATGTAAACGCGCATTATTTGGCGATCTCCTTCCGAGCAAACGTGTACGTCCTTTACGCCAGCGTGGTCATGATTATACGTTGCCGTGTGTTCGCACAGAGCGTTTTAAGCGCTGTTTTATAAATAGGTCTCTTTTTAATTTTATTTAGTTTAATGTTTGTAGAGAGCCGTTGTAAATTTGCAAGTATGTCTGCAAGTGTTTAGTTTGATCTATAATAATAAAGATTTCATCATCATCATCAACACTTGATCTACCAAAGGTGGATTTGATTGTTCTTGCTGTGATGAAGAGTTCTCCGTGACTTCGGGTGCCGGAGTGATAAGGACTTCTGCTTCCGATCGAGCTGTCTTACTGCCCATTGCTACAACTTCGATGTCAGCGTGGAAAGCGAGAGTGAGAGGACTAAATCACACTGAACCGTCTATAAATACTGTAACCACACCAATCAGGAATACCCAGGGGACACGCCCCCAAATGGCGTGTCCTACAGTGAATATAAACGACAATGAAACAAACTGTCAGTGAACTGTAAACACCGTATACCAGCAGAAAATATATGTTATATGCGAAAACGACTAGTCAACTTAAAGTGCAATTAACGCCTATATTACGAAAGAAACTCATGAACGAAAAATACGTGACATAGAAACAACAGAAGCTAACTAACCAGCGAAAAATACTAACGAACGACGAGGAACAGCGACTACACACAGACACCCTAATGAATGATAATGAGAAAACAAAGAAAACATTTCGCGCGCTAAGACCCTACAACACCCTTACATTTTATTCTTTACAGGATCTGTAATGGGAAAACAAAACAACACCGTCAAATTCGTGTTTCGGCTTTTACGGTGTTCCGGTGTTCCGGGGTGTTACGGTGTTACGGTGTTCCGGGGTGTTACGGTGTTACGGTGTTACTGGTTTTAGTACATGCCGTTCCTGTCTTAGTCTCCCTCGCATCCGTTTTTTTGGATGTCACGCAACGCTCCCCCAAAAGAACGGATGTGAATGTGGGCTGCTATTCAGCGACCAGCGAGTTGTCAGTTTGCTACCGACGATTGATCAAATTCAAAAAGGCCTCTGATCATCTTGAAGAGCTCAAAGATGAATTGAAGGGAATCTTCAAGGATCGGGAACTTCCCAGAACGAAGCGCTTATTGAACGTTGAGAGCGACAGTGGAGAAATCCAAGCTTCGTGCCGCGGGAAATCCTCGAAATGTTTACAATAGCCCTTATCGCATTTGTGTCTGTAATGCAAAGGGTCCGCGGAGTTACAGTTTCAGGACGAGGCTATCGGGTCAACGTTTCTCGAGAAACACCAGAAACACTCCATGTCTGACCATATAACTCTGGAATCTGCGTTTTTTTCTGCCGAGGAAAAGGTTAAAATTCTTAGTGGTAATTGTCCTGGCATCACGAAAGGAAGATTGAAAGAATGGCTGTCATTTCGGAAAGGAACGGCAAAATTTTGTCGCGTTTGTTCATGACTACGGTTGTTGTTCCTTTGTCGGCCTTTTTGAGGTTTAACTCACTCACTAGAACACGCTGTATCCTTAAGAAAATGAATAAAAAGGCCTCCAAACGTAGCCGTTTGTGTCGATTTTACTTGAAAGTTTTACCTGTGTGACCCGATAGTCTCGTTTCGAAACTTCAAAGTCCGCTGAGCTCTCGTACAGTGGGCGTACTTGTACTTCTAATGCTACAGCCAATTCTAGTATTTCTAACGCGATCAGCTAACAGGTACGTTATTTTCCGGCAAGATTTTCTATTGGTTCTATTGCTGTGTCTCCTATTCGAAGTCATCCATACGGATTTGTGCTAGAAGCTTTTCCTTGTCAACTGACAGTAAGACCCCCGAGTGAAAGCTTTGAACTCCAAGATGAAACAAGCAATATGATTGGTTAGATTACTTCGGCGCGCAGAGTTCTCGACATATGTAACCCGAAAATGGTGATTGGTTGAAGTAGCGGAAAGGAATGTTGTTCGAATGTGAGCAGCCGTTTGTGGGAGGAGCGTTACGTGACGACTAAAATATAAAAACGGCTGCGAGAGAGACTATTGAAGCCCCAGCCGCGCGTTAATTTCCCCTTTCCGTCCATTCTGTGTGAAGGTTCTCAATATTTCTCTGTAACACGAGCGGCGAAGCTCGAGCCTTTCGAGATAGCGAGAGATGTGAACGCGTTTGAGGTCCGCGAGGGCTCGCAGGAAAATGAACAAGACCCCTTCATAGACCTGTCGTCCGCTACCTGTGCAGCGGTGCTGATGGATCCTGATCGCTTGGTTTCTTCCTTCCAAACTTTTCTTGCGCCATAGTTTCTTCCATTATTGCAGTATGATCGTAGGAGGTTTCCTAAGTCACAAATATATGATGACGCACTTTTTGCCCCGTCCTCATTGGAACGCCTTTTTTCCACCAGGTTGTATCTCCTTCAATGCGAAAAGAACTGGTAACAGAGAGTTGGTGATTCACTCATATGGTTTTTTCGTTTACCTTAAAAATTCAAATATTGACAGAAAACGAAAATATAAATTTTGCTTCACGTGTACTTCGATGTAACTTTATTAATACTGCATTTTGATGACGGTGAGCGACATCTATTTTCTATGAAAACAGCGAGCGTCATTGCTAAGAAACCGAATTCGCGTAAGCAAAAATGCCGCAAGATGTTACTTTTTTCAATACTGCATTTTGGTGACGGTGAGCGATATATCTCCAAAACAGCGTGAGTCACTTAGTGCTAGGGAACCGAGTTCACACAGGCAAAAATACTGCAGGAAAACCAAGGGAACTGGATAGCTATCACGGTATGCGATATCTAAGTGATGTAGCTCCTGATAACAACTTAATTCGTTATGATTACGAATTAAGTTATTATCAGGAGATACATCACCTCCTTTCGAGGGTTTAGCGTGAAGAAAACAACTTTCGTTGTCTCCCTAGAGAATTTGAATTCTTAAAAAATGACGATGTTGTTTCGTAATTCGGTGAATACTTGTTCTTTGATCATTTTGAAGACTATTAAAATTCATACCTAACTTAATTACTATAATAATTTCAAGTAACTGTAAATCACAATTCAGTACAAGAGGATACAATTGAGACGACAATACTGCAATATATCCTTGCAGTGAACCAATTTGGGTGACAGTTGCACACGGAAAGCTAAGTTGAATAAAAACTTACTGCAAGATTCTGAGCTAGGTAAGCAGTATACATGTTTCATAACCTAGTGTATTCCCATCTTTATAATTTTTTCTCGCCTTACTATCGTATCGTTCTTTCTTGATATAGTTTTAAACGGTAGATAAGAATACACAGCCAGCAGTTTAGAATGACTAAGGATGTTACAGTGACATCATTTTCCGTTTGGAAAACTCTGTATATACTGCTGTCAAATAAAACTAAAAGTAATATTATAACTGTTGAGATGTGCTTCGAGTAGAATGCAAACTCCTAGTCTCAAAAGTAAATTTGAACTTATTTCTCAGCTAAAATTGATTCATGAAGCATACAAATGTGTTTCTATAATCCACAATAATACATCGTGCGTTTCATATGAAATAAACTTAAAAGTGATGAGATTTTCAAACACCAGCTTGGCCTTTTCACAATGATTTTCATAGATCTAGACGGTAACAACCTGATCAAACATTTGAAGCATATTGGCAGATGTTGGTGACATTCTTATTAGCTGGGCCTTTTGTTTTTCTCGCCGGTTGTCGTTTTGAAGCAATACTTGGTTTATGTCAGAATTTCCATAATGTTTCTCAAGTGCTAACTTTGGATCAATGCTGTTCTTAAAGTTTTTGTAAGTTTTCTTTTTGCTTTATATGCTAAGTGTACTAATGTAGACATTTTCATCAGTCACATTATGCTAAAACAATAGAAATGATTGGCTTGAGTATTAAAAGACGTTTTATTTCTGAGGCAAAACTGATAGATACTGAGAGGGTTTAAAAATAACTCTTTTTGATATTGATCAAAAAAGGTTTTGGCATTCTGTAGGGTATACAGTCGCTTTAGCATGATATTTTTATAAAGGATAAGAGATAGATTAAATTGAGACACCAAATGTTCATTTCTTTAACTAAGGGCATTTGAGTTCCCTTTCAAACGCGGAAACATAACAGCAATGAAGACGAAATGCAAGTAAATTTTCGGCGTTAATAAGCATTACTTAAGGTGATACTGATTAAAAAAAGTAACCGACATCTTTCCTTAAAAGTAACGCCCAGCTGACTAAACGAAATATGTCTATGAAAAATGGCAACGGGAGGTAAGATGTACTCGACGACTCATGAAAGTGTCAGCTTGTGCTAAGAATCATTTAGAATGCATGATTCGTTACCTTTCCCCCTGAGGAAAAAAGTAAATATAATTATTAAAACCTGGATCATTGGATAATGCAATTCAAGACTTTTTATTGGCTCAGTCATTATGGTATATGAGCCAATATACCATAATCTACTAACATGGTAAGCGCACGCGTCAGCTTAAAATTAAGAGGGAGCTAAAAATTTCATAAATTTAATAATTTAGGCTACGTGCCTCGTTGGCTATCTATCATCTCATATCCAACGCGCGCTCGTGGAATAATTGTTAAATAAAGAATGACGTTACAGTTCATAAACATGATGAAATCACTCTAACTGGCGAATAGAATATTGGTCTCTAAAATCCTCGATCATGATATCACGTCAAACATTTGAGAGCAATGTCCGTAATTCAACTTGGTGGAAACGCGTAAAGTTAATTCGGCAGGTAAGTTCATATGCAGTCTACTGCTGAAGTTGTTTCCGTCGATGTGTGAACCTATCACCTCCCTCTTACACAGTAACATCAGGCCGAGCGGCCAGATATCTGGTATCAGTACTGAAACATTTTCACTTTCCCCTTTATCTCAGCATTTGGAGTAAAAACATCAGTAGAAGATCGTCACGCGTTCGCCATGGGTTATGTGCAACAAAGAACGTCGTACCAGATATATCTGTTGCTTTTTATCTTAGTATTTGTATCTTTTATATTTTCGTTTATTTACATTCAATACTATCCTTTGATTGTGCCGATGAAAAAAGGAAGTCCATCATTTGTCACCAGACTAGAAGTAGATATTTCGCACAGAAGCAGAAGTACAACCAGCATTGAACGTGCCACGCACTTCATGGTAAACGGGAAGGGTTCTCAGCGCAACATAGATGATCTGTCATATTCAGGAAAATCAGTTCCCCTAATGGACTTCAAAGACTTACGAGGGAGAAAAGAACGAGTGCTTTTGTTAGTTACTGTTGGCAGTGCACCACAAAGATTCGACAGAAGGCAGGCCATAAGAGATACATGGTGGAAATATTGCAATCAGAAAAAGGTGAGACGTTGAGAATACACACATACCTTTAATTAATGTTTCTGAATACGACGCCTGCCTTGCTAGTAAGCGTACGTATTATGCTTTAATGTTTCTTTGTAGCTTTAAGGCTTATGATCTTAATATAACCCTTTCAGTTGATCCTGTGAAACTAGAACGATATTCCATTCCTTATATAAAAGCATGCTAAGAGTACAGTCGCCTAATGCTGGTTGATGATTTCTATTGAACAGGTGAAATGCGTCTTCTTTACAGATGGCATCATAAAGAACCAAACTCTTCTTACCCTGCTACTCCAGGAAAAAAACAGCTACAAAGATTTGGAGCTACAACCGCTTCCAGCTGGTGTTCAATTTGGGCAGAGGTTTCTAAATTCCATCAAGTGGGCCACAGCCAAATTTGACTTTAATTATCTTCTCAAGCTGGATGACGACTATTTAATTTGTTTAAACAGACTTCTATTCGAACTTCCTTTGCGACCGAAGCGCAATCTCGTGTGGGGACATTTTCATTGTGAGGTTGAAATGACTTGGGCTGACGAAGCATTTGTGATATTCTCTGCCGACATGATCCGCAAATTCTTGGCGCAAGATAAGAACAAAATTCTCTGTCACCCATTTGCTGATCAACAGTATAGTATTTGGATGAAACATATGACTAAGCTTTATTTCCATGACACAAGGCTTCACCACGACCCACCAGCTTCCTTTATTCCAGAATTTCGAGAAATGAGAAACCTGTGTGACTGGTATATTGGAATACATGGTACCTATGTTGACGAGATGAGGAAGTTTGCGAAGGTTGCAAATGATGGTGCAAAAGAAATAGACACTATCCCTAAATTCTCAACCTTCTGCCCATTCAAAAACTTTGATCATCGAAGGTTTTCACGCAAGTATCATTTTCATCCTAAGCCTTGTATACGAAATCCTACTTGGAAGGGTTCCAAATTTACTGGCCGTGAAGATGAAAGCTCCCTACGTGAGAAAGATCAACAAGACGAATAGCCTCGATTACCGGGGTTTTACTTTTCAAAGCTTCAATTCTCAAGCACAGTTAAAGAAAAGATGACAATGTAAAAAGAAAAAAAACCCAAGTATTTTCCAAACTGTGAACCAATTCACAAGGGTAAATTGAAACCCTTATTCATAAGATGGTGTTAGGAAATGATATTTTGATTGAATTCAATTAAATTTTTAAAAATGTAAGAACTACGGTGGATAATTACCTTCGAAATCATGAATTATTAAACAGAAGTTTCTGTTCCCGTGCGCAGCGATAAATGGTCGCAGAGTAACAAATAGAGTAATTTGGATGTATCAACAAAGTTAAAATGGTAAATTGGCCACCGTAACGATTACAAAAGCTGACGTTTCGAGCATTAGCCCTTCGTTTATTCGCTCCGACGAAGGGCTAACGCTCGAAACGTCAGCTTTTGTAATCGTTACGGTGGCCAATTTACCATTTCAACTTTGTTGATACATCAAAATTATTTCGTTAACCCCACCGACGAAGCCCCAAACAGTTTCTTTAGAAACTATCAGCCTTTATTCATAACAAATAGAGTAGCCTCTGTAGTTAAATTGTGTTTGCGTATTTGTCCTCAGACATAATCCGTTCCTCGGAGCTCAACGGGCGGGGAGGGGGTGGGGGTACTTCGGTCAAAATTTTCTGCATTTGTGCTGCTTACCTCTTAGACCCCCTATTCCACGACAGAGCCCCGTCTTGGTCACATTTGGGCAAATGTAACTTTTGTCATCCCAACTTAGCCAGTTTCTGTTCATGCCTTACAAAGCCTTTAAGTAGTTCACTGAACTACTTTGAATTAGGGCCTAATTCAAATTGACGTATTTAATAAACTGAATGTAGAGCACTTAACTTTTCATCTATAGTAGAATAATCCTCGTAAATTTGAATCTTTCCATTTTTAAATCCCTACTTACAGGAATTTTCTTACCCCAAGAATCCTGAATGCGCGATAACATTGTAGTAACCGTGTTGAAAATATAAATAAACATCACTTTCAAAGGGGTAAGTTTCTAAAGAAACTATGGCGCTGCTTTGGTCGGAGTAACAAGGTAATTTTGGTTTTATCAACCAGGTTTATAAAGTAAATTGGCCATCGTAAAGACTTACAAAGCTGACGTTTTGAGCGATTTTATCGACTCAGTCGATAAAACCAAAATCAAACATCTTTATAGTCAATCCAGCCATGAAAATTCGATCCCATCCATCTTTGGGGACATGTAATCGTTCTTCTTGGAGCATACAAGTATCGTTGTATCTTATATACTTCTGTGACAACGTTCCTTCGTCCAGCTTCCCTGTTAGAGTCTTTACCCACTATTCCTTCCCTTACCTTATGCGTTTCGCCCCAGACTCCTGTCAAATTTGTCGTCTGTTACTAATTTTTTCACACATTATTCTCGCACGTGAAACAGTCGAGTAACAATTCTTCGAAATTTGTAATTTTTCTTTGATGCAAGATGCCTAAGAAAAAGTCAGGGGCTCGAAAAAAAGCCGAAAAACAAAAGGAACGCCAGCGAGGAATAAGAGAAGGTCGTGATAGACCTATTACGGATTATTTCTGCAATGCGATAATGGTGGGTTTGTACCGTCCATATTGAGCTAGGTCCCAAATTGGTGATGATGCTAATAATTCGTTGTTCTTTTCCTTTTTTTATTAATGAATCAACAGGAATGTGACAAATGCAAAAGGTAAGGATGATAGCTCCTATTTCGCTTGGAATATTATGGAAAGAAACATGGCCGCCATGGTAAAGAAATATCGTAACAACAAAGTTTGGTTCTGTCCTGGTGTACCGGTTCACAAGGGAATTACCATTGGTCTTTCTTTGTGTAGGAGTCATGCTTAGCTGTTGTGTATTGTTCGGTCTTTTGTAACGGCTCTTGTGAACCGGTACACGAGGACAGAACCCAAAGTTTTGATACTGATTTACCTTCACATGCTCATGAACTGAACAAGTGTGAAATCTCTTTCTTCTATTATTTTTCATAGGCGACAAAAAAATCGAGCTTTCTGTTATTTCTGCTCATCAGTTCAGAAGTTACCTATCTGTGGAAACTGTGGTAAATTTAGCTTTATACTGTAGACAATTTATAATATGAGAGGAGTATTTATGCTGTCCATATAAAATAAACAAAGAAACTAAAGGTTATATCATTTTTCTGTGGTGTAGGAAAGACGAAATGTATGTCTAAAAGTGGAGACTGTGTTGTTAAACACGGAGCAACTTTCACAACTGGCTTTGGGATGGTGGTATGTGCTATATGTTTGATTGAGATGTTTTTAGACGAAATACCAGCTCTTTTAGCCCTCTCTCTCCAATGGTCTCATTAATAATTCTCCTTACTGTCTGGAATAGAAGTGTCATGATGTTACTTGAGAGAATTTGGTATTGGATCAACTAAAATCCCCTAATTTCTATTTGTCTCCATTTTAATCACTGATCTGCTTGATATTGTATTGATATTGTTGGGAGAAATTCTGTCTTGGTCACTCCTGGAAGTTAAAGTGTCAGAACACCAACAGTTGTGGATTTTTCTTTTTTTTTTTAACTTTGATTACAAAATTTGCAGCGTTTAACTTTTTTGAGATATACTTTCAGGAATAGAAAGGTGGGCTGCAGTATCTATTGTTGACATAATTTGTACTTCCTTCTGTTTGTAGGGAGCTATTTGTGATTTTTGTGAGGCTTTTATCTGTCACAGCAAAAAATGTTTAACCACTCACGCTTGTGACTGTGCTGTAAGAGATGGTGAATGCATTGAATGTCAACGAGGTGTGTGGGATCATGGTATGTACTACATCGCAAAAAGTCAACTTATCAGAATTATAACTTCTTACTAAGTAATAATAATAATAATAATAATAATAATAATAATAACTTGTATTTATATAAGCTCATATCTTGAACTCATGGTGCTTTACAACACTGTGCGGGGGACTTTACCAGACTGCTGAGCAGTTTACAATCAAATGAAGGCGAATATAACACATGCCCCCTACCCCCAATTCCCAGTAACCAGGCCAGACCACATCACAGTAATCTCGTGAAGTGGGTTCTTGTCCCCTGCCTAACCAAATTAACTAATAAATAGATGCAGGAGATGGGACCTCCATTTATTTGTCCCTATCTGAGAAGACTAGAATATCTAACCATTTCTTGATCGATGTTATAGAAAGGTAGCATATTCTTCTCAATTATTTTAAGACCCTGAGTGTTGGTCGGGCTGGGGCTTGAACCTTTGACCTCCTGCACAACAGTCTGGCGCTTAACTAATTGAGCTAACCGGGAGGCGGTTAGCTCAATTGGTTAACTAAGCCTGAGGATTTTACTGGGAAATATTGGCTTGAGGCCGTGGCAGTACGGGCCAAGCACAACAAGCTCCATACAAAAATGACAGACTTCAAACAGCATCTCTTGCATCACAAATATTAAGTGAAAAACTTCAAATCTCTTTACTTGTCTGCAAGGGTTGCGGGAAATCTTGAGGCCTTTCTGAAATGAAAGAAAACTTTGTGGGTCCTGTGTGTTATGCCCCACACTGGTTTATAAATTCATGAACCACACTTCTCTTTCTGTAAATTTACCCATCCCATGTTTATTAAAAGTATTTGTTTATATCTTTTTTTATATTTTAAAGTGCATAGAGGCTTGCAATAAGGGCTTTTTAAATTGTGAATTTATACGTTGCATATAAACCCTTTTGCCAGACTTTTAGAAGAGTTCTTGCTCCTCTTGGTTTTCCTTAACTGGAACAGCATCAAATCTTCAACCACATTCTTTATTTCCAGGTGGACGTGTTTTTGTGTGTTCATATTGTGCATCATATTTGTGTGAAGATGATCAATTTGAGCATCAAGCCAAATGCCAAGTGCTTGAGTCTGAGACATTAAAATGTAAGTTTTTTGATGAGCTGACAAAATTAAAGGATTCATAAGGGAAAAAACAGTTGCACTCTCACCCTATTAAATCTGAAGTTATTTTGAAAAGGATTATATTATTGAATATTATTATTGAAAAGGATTATATGAAAAAGGATTATACAGAGGGCAAAGGAAATGAACTAAATCTGGATCAAATGACCCTAAATGAGCCCAGAAAATACATACGAGAAAAAGAGACCAGTAAGTGAGGTTAGTTTCTTTTTATTCAAAACTAGCTTGGGAATTTAAGGTTGGGAGCGTGCCATTTATTCCTGTAAAAAACCTTGTATTTCACCCACTGCACAATGTTAACATTCAGTACCCTACCTACCTACCTACCTACCTACCTACCTACCTACCTACCTACCTACCTACCTACCTACCTACCTACCTACCTACCTAGTTGACCACTCCCCATGGGGGCTTTTCAGGGCCAATTCCCACCCCAGGGGAGGACATCCATCACAGCAATCTCATGCGAGGGAAGTTAACGTCTCCTACCCTAATGCTGCAGGAGACGGGACCTTCATTTATTCGTCCCTATCCTAGAAGACTAGAGTATCTAACCATTTCTTGATAGAAAGGCAGCATATTCTTCTCACTTATTTTAAGACCTTGAGTGTTGGTCCGGCCGGGGCTCGAACCCTCAACCTACCGCACAACAGTCCCACGCTCTATCCATTGAGCTAACTGGGAGGCATTGCATATTTAAGAAGGCTAAGTGATTTTTTGAGCTTGGGCTACCTGTGTATGCCTGGTATATAAAGGGTTGTTAGAGAGAGAAATCAGTTGGATTGTAAAGTAGAATCCAGGTAATCTAGCTTTGTGTTTTATTTTACATTCACCAGGTGGTTCCTGTAACAGATTAGGTCAATACTCATGCCTCAAGTGCAAGGTAAATTTTTTTCTATCAAATGCACATTTGTTTTTTTTGGTGGAAAAATTTTGATTGTGATTTTTCCACACACAGTATACCTAGCTGCCATACCAGCTTTTTTTAATTTTTTTTATCAAATTGTTGATAAATATAACTGTTTAAACAGTGTGTTAAACAAAGTTCATTCAATATTTCTTTTCACCGACCTGGTTTGTTACCAAGAGCCTCTGGCCTTGTGGCTCAGTAATTTTTAGATTTAATTGTCAGTCCTATGCAGCTTGGTGAGTTAGAATCTTCGTATAGAACTCAAACAAATTAGCTGCAATACATAGGACCTACTGACCCCCTCCCTCTGTGAATTAGTTTTGGACACCACTTGCGACTTATGTTACTACTGACAGTAACTAAACCGTGTCACAGCGTTCCGCGACCAACCAACACAGAAAAATTATCCATGAACAGTAATGTAATTACGGTGTTACCTCATTTTTCGCGATTCACTCACCTGTGTCTTTGTGGATATAGCCCTTTTCCCCCCCACCCCCTCCTCCGGTCCATCACTGCTAGCGAAGTGGGACCCCCCTGGTCCAAAGTCGGCCCCAGGCCAGAGTGAAAGCTTTCAAATATAAAAATTCGTACAGGCATGTTACTGCGAAGATCATGTCAGAAGAAAAGGAGTAAAGTACACGAGAGGACAGCCCCTACCTTGTCCAAAATGTGGATACCAGACCAAAGAGACCAAAGATCTAAGCATGTCCAGTAAGTCAACATTTTCAATTCAAAAGTCTTTGGCGTTTTCATAGGGTTGTACGTTCATTGTTACAGATCATCTATCTTACTTTTAATTTCAGCCCGTAATTACGCTTATTCTCGTCAACGAAATGATGTGGACGACGATGATGACGACTACGGGTCCAGCGGTTTTAGTTACGGCTCAAGTGGGTTCAGTTACGGGTCAGGCGGTTATGCTTACGGGACATCCCGTCACGCAGATGATGAAGACGATGATGAAGATGATAGTAATGAGGATGATGACGACGAGGAGGAAGAGGAAGAAGAAGAGGAAGAAATTGATGATGATGACGATGGCAAAGAAGACAAACAGGACAGAAGTGACCTGGAGGACGAGTTATCTGAACTAAAAGTTTAATTGTCTTGACCAAACTCAAAGGTTTTCTTGGAATTGGACAACTTACTAATATCCGCAGAAACTGGAATAAATGCAAAGATTATTTTATTATTTTAGAAGAATAAAATAATGTATTAAGTAACAGAGAAGAGTCGATAGAATTTTGTCTCAGGTTTAAAAATGAACCGAAATTGTAGTGCTGGTCCTGACATATCTAAACATCGTAGAGACTAATAATTTTGTAGAAATAGTGCCTTGACTTAGAAATTGTGCGAATTAGTGTTTCTTTCGCGTGCAAAATCTTTGATGACGGGAGGCCAAAAAGCTGGCGCGTGACCTCTCATAATTAGTGATGTATTATTCAGAACCGAAAAAGGCAAAGTAACACCGCTTGAGTAAACAGCTTTACTTCCGCACAATATTTCTCTCTAGAATTGCTGTTTCAGGTGCCGACAGTGTTTAAATAGAAAGTTAATACTCAAGAGGAAGAAAAGTGTGAAAGTCGATTGTTAATGAAAAATCTGACATGGTGATGATATTCTTTCGATTGTATTTTAACAGGGGTTCAAATAAGTAATTTTTCTTTCTTTTAACTTTTTCTTTTGAAAATAGTCCAATAGTGTTATAGCAATTTTCAAACAGGATACTAGTGATTAGCAAATTATGCGGCGGAAAACTGGATTTGTATCCTTATCCATGTAGTAGCTATATTTTGTTCGTCTTGCAACAGATGTTTACATTTTACAACGCTTTTATGTTCCCTTCAAAACATTTAGACCGTCAGTTCCCAAAGTAAGGCAGTGTGTTTGATTGTTAGCTCTGTGTGCCTCTGCTTTGATACGTGCCAAAATTTTAAATCAGTTTTTGTGTTGAAAATAAATAATCGATTTCAGACAAATAACAACGAAAAGCAAGTTTGTTGGCTTTTAGACACATCATTGTCATTGTTAGTTTTGATTTATTAACAATTTTACAAAAAAAATTTTTTGGCAACAGAATTTTATTGTTGACATAAAGCGCACAAATAAATCTAAACTGTGCTCTGACCTGTCTGGATTGGCACTTCCGAAAATACACCTTGTCAGTGGTCTGAAAAAGTTAAATGAATTGGTGAGTTGTGAAATCATCCAAAGTTTCAATTCTTGTATTTCTTTGTGTTGGTGTAGTCGTGTTGTCTTAGTTTCCTACATTGAATTTGTGTGACACTTTGACAGGCGGCGACAAAAGAAACCCAGACTGAATGACTGCAAGTTGTTAAGAAACTAAACAGGGGTACAGATGTCACAAAGTCAACAGTGGAAGGTTAACACATGCACGGGTTACCACAGATTTGATTAACGCAAATAATGGACGGAGGAAAACCTTAATCACTTACCTTTTCCCTCCAGTTTTGTTTTGTGCTTTTCCATTAGTGGTGTCGTTTAAAAACAGGTTCATTCGTAGTAACCGAGGGGATGTGTTATAACCTTACACCACTTGACTCGCTTATAGATGTCACAGGGATTGCTCAATACGGTACTACAAATTTAATTTTGAACACGGCATGGACTGCAACAAAGCTAATCACAGCAGATATTTTCAACTTGCAACCTCCATGCATAACAACAGCACCTCAGCCCCTGGACTCGGGTCACAAGCTCGTCTTCTCGAGGGTTTTGGTTTATCACTTGTTCTCTTGGTCTCGCTGGTGTTAAATCTCTCCGTTTGTGCGATCATCTGCCGAACAAAATCACTACGCGAGAAGCCGACTAATACATTTGTGGCAAACCTGTGTACCGCTAATCTGCTTCTGACCGCCTGTGTGATTCCATTTAGCTTGGTGACCATTATCGAAGATGAACATGCATCTTATTCAAAACTTTTTTGCCAGGTAGGACGATGATTATTGTGAAATCATTTTGAATTTGAAAAATTCTCAATGTAATGGTTTTCACGAGGCATTGTCGTTCCATTTCGAGACAATTTTGATATTTAACAAGGTTACCATATGTGTAATCGGTAATCAGTACAATCAACTATGCCTTTCTGCAAATTGCTACAAGGTTTTTTTTAATAAGTTACATTTAGCAACAGTTTTTTCTTCTCTTCCCCACGGTGTTAAGTGGTAAATGATGGGCTGTCATTGTAATCTGGAGATTCTGCTCACATTTAAACGATGAGTTATTTTTGAACAAGTAAAGATGTATCTTACAGTCTGCACTGCACACAAACAAACAAATAAACTCCGCAACTTTGGCGAGACTTCGAAAACAGTGACAATGCGTATTAAAGAGGACCATGTATAATACGGGGCTGGTATTGGGGACATTTGGAGAAATATTAGCTGGCAACTTTACCACTCTTGTCTCTCTACACACGCTATCTTCGTGACTGTTTTCCAGCGGGAATTCTACATCAATTCTGATAGAACAATATTCCTTCTTTCATAATCAATTTAGCTCTTGTTAATGGGATTAAATAATCCTGAATATGCTTATATTTATACCGTACATCTAAAATAAAATTGCCTTTACCCTCTACACCATATTGTCCGCACTGTTCTCTATACATTTCCTAAGGTACTTACAAGGAGAATCTGTTTAACCATCAAGAGCTTTGGTGATCATTTTCTTTATTCTCATAACCTTTGCAGTTGGTTCAAGAGTGATTCTGTAAGGAAAAATTAGAAGCCGGTCATTCTCGGGGTGGCGGGGAGGGTGG